CCCACCCAACTATTTATACTAAAATGAAGAAGTTTAATTAATGACTTTTTTTTTTCATTTTAAAGATTCAAATCGATAATCATTGAAATTATCAACAGTTTTGATTGATAATGAACAATTTCATTTGAAGAAAGACTTTATACTGCATCAAATGAAGCTGCTGATTCATAAATGTTATATTTAAAATTTCGTAATTGCTTAATAGGTTTAGAGTGACACATATTTTGAGTAGAGATTCGTGATTTTTCTGATTTTTTTCTTCATTTTATCAAATAAGTTGTTTTGCTTCTCAAAGTTCAGTTCTATTGCAGCATAAGATGAGTCTATGGTTATTCATTCGGAAAATGTCTATTAGCTCTTTCACAATTTAAAATAGACTCTTCATCAATGCAAAAATCTGAATATATGAAAGATTGAATTCGAAAATAGTTTTTTTGTATTTGAAGACAATTAATCTAATTTGAACAAAAGAAAAATATTTTGTAAACTATCGAAGAATCTAACTCTATTTTTCAGTTAACAATATTCAATCAATCTATATTATCAGTTGAAAACGACATTGGATTTTTGCAATATTTAAAATGAATTGTTTGAGATCATCACAAATAATATCTGTAAAAAAGAGAGTTCATTTTTCAAATCAACACTAGTTTCTTGTAAATAGTAGATCTATCCGAATGTTTGTCGAACTGAATTGTTTCTTGCATCAAATATCTCATTGAATTTTTTGTTCTGTGTTGTTCGAACAAACTCATTTCTCGTCTTAGCTTCGTTCAGTCTTGTTTAATATTTTTTCGATCTTTATTGATAAGTTAATCTGCTACTGATATGATCATTTCTGATGACATATTGTAAATTGAATTTTTCTATCGTATCTTAAGTAAACATCATTGAAATAATCTATATTGGAGTCAAGTCAAATTAAAATATCATATATAATAAATGCTTCATTTAAAAAAAACAAGAAAATGATTCTTTTTCTTACAAAATGAAAGACTATTAGAAGAACTTATAATAAAATTCGAAATAATAAATCTTGAAAGTTACTATTATAGACAAGTTAATTCTTAAAGATAGACTAGAGATTTTCTGTAGATAGCTCAGATTATGAAATTTTATCTTCTTAATTATTGATTTAGTCATAATGTTCTGAAGAACGCTCACAAAAAACTACTTAATTCCGGATCGACTGACAAAAATTTGCTCGTAATAGTTACTGAGATTGATTCAGCCTTATCTATACACAAGATATTGATCTTACAGATAGTCTTTCTAATCTGTCGCTGGTTAATAGACATGCATTTCAATCCTTTGTAATACTTTGACTCAGCTTTGGATTACAACATAAGAAATAATGTTTTTGTCTAATATTAAACTAAACTGTATCGCGTTTTTCATGTTAATCCTTTAGATTTTTTTCTGAAAAATTTTTAATCAAAATCTAATTATTTAGATGGTCAATTATTGAGTAATTCAACAACAAATACAACTCGTCATATTCATCGATTATCATCAACAACAATTGAAAATAATTCTAATGATGAAATAATAAATAAAGTTGTACATGATTTTGAAACAAAAATTTAAGAATTAAATGATAGACAATCACATTCTATTTGTATGGAAAAATTACAAAATGTTGCTTTTTTATGTGGTCATACAGCTTGTTCAAATTGTGCATATTCATTAAAAACTTGTCATATATGTTGAAAATCTATTACAAAACAGAAAAAAAAATTAATCTATATTCATAAAAGTATTATTATATTCATTAATGTCTCGTTATTGTTTATTTCTGCTATTAAAAAAAAAGAGAATATTTGTCTTCTATTTAAATAAATATTTTAAAACTATTTAATTATCATAGGAAAAATATTGAATTTGGAAAACTATAAATGAAAAACGTAAATATCTTCTGAAAAAAAAGAAATATTTGATATTTTGCATGCTAACAAATGAAACTGGTTACAATCACCTAAAGATATTGATTATTATTACGTTTTTCAATATTTTCATAATGTTTTCTCTAGATATTCTTCAAATATTTGTTCAATTGATACTATATTTAACAGTTAAAGAAATAGAAATTTTTAATATTAACTATTTTATAAATTAGAACAAAAAATTAATGATAATTAAATATTGTTGAGTAATATAATTGAATGAAGTAGAACAATTATTGCTAATCAATGATCAATGAATTGATTCTGTAGACATGTCCTTTTTTCTATTTTTATTTAATTATAATTTACAAAGTACAATAATTAGAAATTGTTCTGAATATGAATTGTTCCTGCAAAACATCAAGCCAATAGTCGGTGTTATAGAAATTTGATTGAACAATTTTGAAGTTATATCATTTCATCGACAAAAAATCCATTAATACCATTTTCCTATAATAATATCATTCAATAAAGACTACGAATTTAATGATCATGCATTTCATCACCTTTAATATCTAAAGAAATTTCAAAATAAATTTTTATTTTAGCTTTCGTCAAAACTTACACCATGGCATCATAGTGATTGATCAAATTGACTTATTGGATATAGTTTTTCACTTTGTTTTACATCATTTAATAATTCTGTATCTTCTTCAGTCATTCAATGACAATGACTAAAAGAAAAGAAAATTTTATATTAAAATAACAAAAAAAAAAAAAAACAAACTTGCTCTCCACTATTATTAGCATTAGATGAAGTTAGTTGTTTGTTTTTACTTGTGGTTTCATTCTTAATGATGATGTTGGACCATCACCTTTCGTATGCTTATTAAGTTGATCATCTTGAACAAAATATAAAAAAATTTCTGTTTGTTCAAGTAAATAATTAAATCGTTTAACTTGATATTCATTTTATTTTTTTTAAACGATTAATATTTAATAAAAATTTTAAAATGAAATTTTTTTTGTTTTTTTACCAATTGACTTTGAAAAGCTGGATCAAGAATTGGATCAGCTTTTTTAACTATTTTTTTTTTCTATTTTTCTTATATATTCTTTTAATCAGAATCTTCTTCAGATAAATCATCAACACTATCAAGTTTCTCCTTAAAAAGAAAAAAATCTTTTCACTTTTTCTTTTGAATGAAATTTTACTTTAAATTTATCATCATCTTTTTTTTTTTCTTCAAGTTTTTCTTTTTCTCTTGTAATAACTACTGTTCGTTTTATTGATGTTACATTATCTCTTTCATTTTTTTTTCATTAGTTCTATCCATTGTTTTAATATCATTCATGTTAATTCTTTTATATATCTCAAATTAAACTTTCATAAAATAAAAAGATTTATTCTTCTAGCATAATAATGTAATGTATCCTAAATCAAATAGACTTTTTATCTCACGAACTAGTAGCTATGATCACGATTTCGACCTTAATGTTTAAGGATCTCTGAAGATGTCATTTTATGATGATGAATTAAAACTATGCTATCTTTAGAGATCTTTAAGCAAGGTTGAAATTGTGATCATTTCTTCTAATTCTTCATGTATATTTTCAGCAAAAAATTGATGGATCAGTTGAGACATTTTCCTGATCAGTAGAGTCTGTCAGATCTAAAATTTTCGAACTTTAGTCCAATTGATTAAACTTTCTTGAATCTGAACACGAATCGCACGTTTAATATTTTCAATAAAATTTATTGTATCTAGACAAAATGATAGTCGTTTTGCAAATATGAGATATTGTTTCTAATTATTTGTATATTGTATGATTAGCATACCCTATACATTTCTCAGACAATATGAATGATGATCTTATAATAATCAAGTTAAAATTGACTCTTACTCTTTACTAGAACATGTTGAATCGAAAAATTTTGGACTCAGATCCGATCAATTTCAAATCCAATCCGATGGGCTCTACTCATCAGTCATGAATGAATCCTTTCGAATTTTCTTAAGTTCATAGAAATCTATATGTTGTCAAATAATAAAGTCAAATGATAAATAATATTCTGAGTCGATAATCATTCAAAAGATTTAAGTTTATACATACTACTGTTGTAATTCTAGTTGAATCATCATAATATTCTTCGCTCTTTTCTGATATTTGGTATTTAAAAGATGATAATACTTTTTATACATGAAAACTTTTTTTTTTCTATAATTTTAATTCAAAGATTAATTTTACAAAAGTTCTACATTTAAATTAATCTTTTTCATTCCTTCTAATTTAAGATTATCTTCTTTTGGTTGAAGGAAATGATGATGTAATAGTAAAAGCAGTATTAATTTTCGAATTATCCAGTGATAATTATTGATATTGACCATTTTTTATAGAAGTATCTAAAATAAATTTTTCTTTTATTTCTTGTATATAAAATAAAATTATCTCTCAATCACATATGAAAACCAAGTGCAGGTCCACTAGAACTGTATTAATAAAAATAAAACAATATGAAAAATAAAATATTCAAAAACAAGAAAAAAAAAAACTTACATTTGTTGGATGATTATTAAAATATTTTAATTTTGTTAATCGACTTTTCTTGAAGATGATTATACTATTAACCATTCTAAATATAAGATTAGATCTATAGAACAATTTTTATTCATTTTTCATACCGTTCAATTATAACTATTTTTTTTGAAGATTCCCTAGACTGATAAGGTTAGGATCTAGAAACTGAAATTCACCTATGTGTATCTGTCTTTCTGTTGGTAACTCCGGTCAAAATGCCTATGGTAACTATGATACAAATGACCATTTAACAACTATGGTCAAAATGTTCATAGTAACTGTAGTATAAATGATCAAATAAAATAACAGCTGTCGTAGAAATGTCCATAATAACTGTGATACAAATGACCAAATAACAACTATGGTCAAAATACCTGTAATAACTTTAGTGCAAATGACTATTTAAAGACTATGGCAAAAATGGTCATGATAACTGTGGTACGAATGACCATTTAATAACTATGGTCAAAGTGACCATCTAATAACTATAGTTTAAATAAACATGGAGAACGCCTATAAGGATCATCTAATCACTTATGATATAAATTAATCGAGTAATCCTGGTGAAAAAAGCTTGTTAGCGCAGGCCCTGCGGAGCTGAAATGTGGAACTCACGTATACCTTTAGCTTTGTTACCTGACGAATCATCTGTATACTGAAAGACTTCTCGTCAACTATAGTTGTTTTCCTTGAGAATCGATGAAAAGAGCGGGAATTTATTCCCTAGACTGAAAGGCTAGGGTCTAGAAACCGAAATTCACTTGTGTCTGTCTGTCTGTCTGTCGGTAACGCGGTCAAAATGGCCATTTTTTTGGCACATGTGACCATTTTTTGGCACAAACGGCCATTTTTTTACTAAAATTAACTAGGTAACTATGGCACAAACGATCATTTTTTTGGTACAAACAACCACGTAACTATGGCACAGGTGACCATATAGCAACCATGGTACAAACAACTATTCCGGTAACTATGGCACAAATGACCATCTAAAGACTAATGTAAATGAACTCATAATAATCATCGGTACAATGTCAATGAAATAACTATAATTCGGGTAGTGGTGTAAAGCGGCTTACAAAAGCATTTAATTAGTGAGAGTCAGACCAAATGAGCAGTATGGATTTAAAGAAATCGTTTAAATTATTCATTATTGTAGGATTGATTGTGCAATATTGTATCAATGAATATCTAATTTATTAATAGTTTAGAATTAATGCGCGAATTGAAGCATAAAATATTGATTAATAAAACTCAAATTTTATGAATAATATAATTCATATTTTTGTACGTACAAATAGCGCCAATATAGTTACAAAAAAAATCGTATTCTTGTCTAATCTTATTGAGCGCTATTTATATTTATAAAAGCAAAAAAAAA